TTTTGTAAATCAGAAAATATCTGCTATGTCACTGTTAGTTTCTCCGCTGAAGATCTAGCAGCTACTTTACAGAGCCCCGCCCTTTTCTTTTCTCACGTGTGTTGGCCGGACTACATGGAATCACTATGATATTAAAGTCAAAAGCTAAGCAGAGCTGCAATGTATGCGCAGATTAGCATGAACTACATGCATGAGCTTCTCAACACAAACCGGTAAGTTTGTACTTTAATGAAAATGTTAGTTCCATAAAGTCGTTCTTTAAAAAAATATACGGTATTTATGTTGAAACACAGAAATGATCTACTGTACTGTAATTTAGCTACTGAGTACTTTGGTTGAATGACCATCATTAGAGCATAAAGGGAATGTTCACTTTTCACTGTTGCGGCCCACTGGCATTGGGACCACATTGTGCAGTGGACAATAAAGTTTGTCATATTACAATTGTTTAGCCTTGGTAGAATCTGTGCTCTACGATTCTATTGTAGTGCCCCCTCCACCCCCCCACACACACTACCTTTTAGGGTCCATACATTCACTGAGGTTGACCATTCGGGGTCCCATTGCTCCCTTGGCATTCTTCTCCCAACCAACACTCTTAGGACATGCTGTGGACATCAACAAAAGTGAAATAAAAAAGATGTACTATGCATGTACATGTGACAAAGAAAAGGGATGCAGTATGGCAAATGCTGATAAGACTTTCATTTCATGAAGCGACTTCATCACTGGTTATGGCGGTGCATACTTTACAAGGCAATTGTGACTCATGGGGCTGAGTAGAACATATTACTTGAAAGAAATTTTGGGGGTTGACTTCCCCCTTTAGTTATTGCAGAGAGAGGCAGTTGTGGTAAACTGAATCCCCTCATCTGAACTCATCAAAAATCTTCACAGATCCCAGTGTGCCACTGTTCCCCTCAAGCTATTTTCATTTCATCAGCAGTTCATCCCTTATTCAACAGATGTGAAGGGAGAAGGGGAAAGTCAAGCAGGGCAGAGGGACCACATTGTGCAGTGGACAATAAAGTTTGTCATATTACAATTGTTTAGCCTTGGTAGAATCTGTGCTCTACGATTCTATTGTAGTGCCCCCTCCACCCCCCCACACACACTACCTTTTAGGGTCCATACATTCACTGAGGTTGACCATTCGGGGTCCCATTGCTCCCTTGGCATTCTTCTCCCAACCAACACTCTTAGGACATGCTGTGGACATCAACAAAAGTGAAATAAAAAAGATGTACTATGCATGTACATGTGACAAAGAAAAGGGATGCAGTATGGCAAATGCTGATAAGACTTTCATTTCATGAAGCGACTTCATCACTGGTTATGGCGGTGCATACTTTACAAGGCAATTGTGACTCATGGGGCTGAGTAGAACATATTACTTGAAAGAAATTTTGGGGGTTGACTTCCCCCTTTAGTTATTGCAGAGAGAGGCAGGTGTGGGAAACTGTCTGAACTCATCAAAAATCTTCACAGATCCCAGTGTGCCACTGTTCCCCTCAAGCTATTTTCATTTCATCAGCAGTTCATCCCTTATTCAACAGATGTGAAGGGAGAAGGGGAAAGTCAAGCAGGGCAGAGGGTTTCATATCAATTGAGACATGCATGAAGACAACCACAAATGCAGAAAGATCCAAATTGTAATAAAAAAGAGCCCCTGAAAAGGGAAAGTACAACAGACAGTTTAAAGACAACCCCCACCCCTGTAAAACAATTACCAGAGTCGAATGGGAGTTCGGGTAGTTGGACGTGAAAAATGACACTGTGCTGAATGGAGCGGATTCCCTGGAGGGTTCTGTCCCTGAAACACAGCACCTCTACTGTGTCCAACTTTGCAACGCTGCCACACAAAATAAATACAAAATTAATGTTTATACAATATGACCTTATGCAAGCATGAACGTTTTTCTCATACACTATTTTTCAACAAGGTATTATCCAAGAAAGTTCACATAGTAATGCTTTCCCTAAGAGGGTTGCAACTGGCCGTATTCACATGACAACACACACATTTGAGTGAAAACACCTTAGCAACAAATGTGATGTTTCTCCTATTAGCAGAATCAAGAGTTACAATTATTCTATGTGCAGTATTAACATTGTGGTTGGGGAGATAGGCCAAATTAGACGACATTTGTTTGGGCTAAAAAGTGCCTGTGAGTCAGGGGTAACAACATAATACTTGGAAAGTTTGCACTTGGTTTTGGGGCAATTTATCAGGTGTCAAGAATGTGCTGCTGGCCCACTGCGATAATTCCTAAATTGCATCCTATAATAGCCATTCCAAAAAGAGTGTGACTTCAGTAAATCTTGTGAGACTTCAGTTCAGTGAGCATATAAAGCAGGGGTGTCAAACTCATTTTTGTCGCGAGCCAGATTTTAATTACAGTTTCCCTTGGAGGGCCGTTATGACTAAAACCATGTAAAGAAGTCAAGAATAACAGTTTATTCACCTATTGTTTAAGTTACTGTAATGAGGAGTTTGGTAACAAGAAAATGCTTACAGTATCACTCTTATTTATTACAAATGAGAATTTGAAATGTTGGTACAGATTTTAGCAAGCATCATGAAAGTTGATATCTTTGATTTGCTTTCGCGGACCACATAAAATGATGTGGCGGGCCAGATCTGGTCCCTGGGCCTTGAGTTTGAAACCTGTGATATAAAGGATTAACTCCACATATGGGTACCCTTGATGCATACCAAAATGGGACCAAATGCCTTCCTGATTGCTTTCCATTACCTCTCTGTTAGCCGTCGTCAAAAACTGAATGGCTGTGCTGTATTTTAGAATAATTGCCTTCTTATTATCCAGTGGTGAATGCCTCGTCACACTTCTATGACAGTGAAGAATGCTAAAACTGAAGCCAGGAATGAATTAAGTCATTACACACACGCGCCCAGAGGAGTGAGTGCTTACCGCTGGCTAGCCAAGAGAACCAGTAGATTCCTCAGAGGCCATCCTGGATGTTGAGACAGAGTACACGGATCATACACCCCGACGGCAACCTAGAAGAAAACATCCTATTAACATGCTCGTGCATCGTTTCCCCTGTCAGGATGATGGTTTGGTCCAGGGCTCCCCCTAAAGTACTTGATAGCTATGACGGCAGCATACGATGGAGCATTACTTTCGGCTGAATGCAAAGCTATTGCGTGTTAGAGTTAATGTAAGTTTACACCTGTATGGCAATTAATACATTTCGACAACTTGCTGTGAAAGTGCTTATATAAATAAAAATATATTGTATTGTATAACCGGTCACTTTTGCATACATGTTCATCATATGTCACTTAAACCTTTATGGGTTTCATGTGGCAATGTTAACAGAGCATAATTTATTTTTACATTTGCATGACAGTTAAGAATGTCAACATTTTATTTGCATCATTTCCCAAACTGTACAAAGAGAGGAAATGGGCGAAAAAAAATTGAGAGGGTGTTGCGTGTGATGATCACACCATTCATTGTCTGCACATGTATAATTCAGCGGCAGAGACTCTCCACACTTCCCTTTAACGGCAGTACATATGAAATTACGAGTCTACAAATTATAAGACAGTGTGCCATCATCTTGATTGTGAAGCTATTATTACGGGCAAAATTAATACATAATGCTGCTTCAAAAAGAAACAAAATGTTACACCAACCTTTTGCGAGCCAGGAAAGAATGCCCTCCACTCTGCTAAAGGGGCCAACTGAACGGCGTCATCTGTGTACTTCATTAGGAAATAGGGAACTGCAGTGGTCTCAGCTTTGATACACAAGCCATCGTAGGCCTCCTGCAAAGCCAAGATCTGAAGCACAGACAATTAGAGGCCATAATTAAATGAGAAAACTTATTTCCACATATGGTGGCGAGATCTAATGAACACCCCTACTGCTCTATAGTATATAGGTATCCAGCTTGAAAAGGGCACTCATGAATAAATTATTAAAACCTCTTAAGATCCATCATTTAACAAAGCATAATGAAATGTGACGCATTGCTCTAACCAAGAGAGGCACTGAATAAAATAGTGATTTCTTGAAGATTTCTTTTATTAAAAACAATGAGCCAAGGCTGGACTGTACTACCCAAGGCCTGAGTACCATTTATATCTACTCTATCTTTGAACAATAAAAATGGACAGACTGCGAAATGATGACACATCAAAGAACCTGTAGAGTGAATTCAGATCTATTTTAAGATATTTGCTGAAAACATGTGCACGGGCTGAAAACTCAGTAGCAATGACTTGTGGGGATGCAGTGTTAAATTCCTTTTCACCATTTCAGTTGCCTGGATTTATTGGCCAGGGGGCTAAACCGAAGCTCAGTGACACACTTGGGCTTCAGGCATGAGTCAGCCCTTCCCCACTATTGAAATACCTCAGCACCTTCTTGCATCAGTTATTTATTTATTTATTTATTTATTTTTGTTATTGCAAGGCCCATTTTTAACGTGACACCTAGCTATGCCTATAACCGAAAAAATGCATCTGGATGCCATACTTTACAGAACAGCTCAGTGACGTTATTGAACTGCCCAGTTGCGGAGAGCATGTTTTCAATGCATTCGGCAGACACGCCCACAAGGTCAGAGATCTGAGAGAACTTTTTCACATATTCTGAAGCCTGATGGCATATATTTCATTCAAACTTGGCAGGTTTGCTAACAACACTCTTTTTCATGGTGTGTCAAATTTGCAAGGTATTTATTTTCACTTGACAGCCACTTTAAGATTATTATGAGTCAGCCTTGGCTTCAAATGGTGAAAAGTCAATAGGTTAGGATTTTTTTTTTTTTTTTTATTTCTACCAAATAGTAATAATGCACTTGTTGTTGCACATGTTGTTGATAATTCCAACATGTTTTGCTATATGCTCTGTTATTGTGATGTCACCACAGAAGGGTGCTCGCAATGGCAAAGTGGAACAGTGTGATCATAAGCACAGAATCAGAAATGAAACTTACTGCAGCACACAAATAATTCTGGGTGATTGTAGAATTTGGGCACCTTTTACACACAGAGAAATTTGACAACGCTGATTAATAATACCGGCCTGTTTTGCTGTGAAAACCGTCTCCAGGACAGAAGGCTCCTTTACAATCTTTAGCCCCTCTGGGAAGCAGAGAGCGGGGAAACAGAACCAGTAGTAGAAATGGTACTTCTTCAAATCCTGGGGAAGTTGAGAACAAATTTGTCAACTAACCCAAATGTGCACGTGAAATGTTACAAAACGCCGCTGACACCTACTGCAAAAGTCAGCAGAATAAACCTGCAGAGGATGCTGGGGTCTGTGAGCGCATCGCCGGTCCGGATGGCATCCCAAAGCTACAAAACAATAGGTGTTAAGGTTTTCCACAATGCAACTACAGTACGTGCCACTTTACATTCTCTATATGTGATATGCAGTATTTTAATATTTCACCTCCTTTGACTCTCTGTCCAGCAAGGCCTTCTTGTCAGTACTCTTGAAGGCATCCAGTGTGTTGGTGTTGTACAGTTTTCCAACAGCCTCGCAACAATGCGCCGGGGTGGACCCATCTCTGATGTTCAGAAATATAAAGAGTGGTGACTCTGCATTATGGTTTTCTGATATGCCTTTTACATTTAATACAGATCTGTGATTCAGTGAAAAATTTGGTTGAATATATAAACCTTTTGAGTGCTGTTCTGATGTCAAAGTCTAGTTGATTATGTAGATTGTCATCCAAACAGCTGAGTGGGCTGGACTAGCTTGACCTTTTTTCTTTTTTGTAATGGATTAATTTGACAGCTTTGATGGAGCCGTACAAAGGTACAACGTCAGTGTGATGCTGAGTGCGGCTGCAAGTTTCAAAATGACTGATGACAAAGTGGATTTGAATGACCCTTTTTGGTCAAAGAGGTTCTGACATTGCCATATGCTGCAAAGCCCACTTCATTGTCAATCGCAGTCTAGAGAATGTTCATTTACAATTTGGACCTCTCCTCATCTGTTCGAATCTTGCCATCTGGCTCTATTGGCATCAAAGACAAGTCCCCCGACTTACACATCAAATGCGCTGAACTCTAAGGTCAAACGGGTGGGCAAACCAACCGGATCACCTATATGAAATGGAAATGACAAGTGGTTATTTTTCGACATTATTCTTTTTGTCCACAATCCAAATTACCTCTTGGGTCTCCTAATGAATGTTGTCATAAAAAAAATATATAAAAAATAAAAACAAGTACCAAAAACTTCAGCACACCTCTCATTCTGTTTTGTAAGATAACTGTTTTTAGGGGGAGATCCACCATTACGGAAGCCACTGCTCACGCACTCCCCTCTACTTTTGGGGCTCCTTTGTGATGGGGCGGGCTGTTCTATGAGGCTCTTTGAAGTGCTCATGAAGTTGGCTGACCCTGATTAAATATTTCATTTTGATTTTCACAGTGAAAAATACACTGTGACATTTTGCATCTCACCATTGTAGTAGTACCCTTTGATGCATTTGGGGCTCTCATCCAGCCTGTAGTCATTGAGTTTCCTCTGCGTGAGCTGATGCCAGAAGCCTGCCTCCAGCGCGCTGCTGAAGGGCGCAAACTGCAGCTTGAGGTCTGCAGAGTTGGACGCCGCCATCAAGACACGGGATGGCTACATAAAACAGATGACACATTAGCATTCCCGTATTCATTATAGATAGATATCTTGACAATGGAAAAAGATGAAAAAGAAGTGATTGGGTGACTGACTAAAAGTTGTCATGTTAATTTTGTCGGGTTTTGTTCTGCTTTATCAGGACTTATTGTAAATGTTTCAATAGTATTTCTATTAGGGCTGCAGGATATTGCAAAAGCTTGCGATCTGCAATATGCTTGCTGCAGGAGGACAATCTCAGGGTGGGCAATTTAAATGATGGAGAGGGCCACAATTTTTCATCAGTGCTATTGGGTTTCACATCGGACCACACAACACTTCTAAACCAGATGTGTGACAAAAATGTTCCTTTAAATATTTACACATTATGTGTGCATGTGCAAAATACTTTGTACGTGCTCATAATATATTTCGGTTTTGATCATACATTTTTCACTGAATGTACAAAAGATCCACTATCTTAACCCATCAGTGTTTTGTTTTGTTTTTCGGGGGAAGAATTTCTCAGGTTGTAAAACTAAACAAATAAATAAAAAAATCAGAGTCTGGCCACCACTTGGGCATCCCTGCTATAGACTGGTTGCCAGTCAATCAAAGGGCATATTTAGACAACCATACGCACTCACAATCACACCTATGGACAATTTAGAGTCCTCAAATAAACGTTTGGTTGCACACACAAGCACAAGTACAACAACAAAGCCCACACAGGAGGTACAGAGCCAAAACTTGAACACAGTCTGTGATACAGTCTTGTTAACCACTACCCACCGTACTGCTCTAGTATGAAAAGCAATTCTTGTAATGATAAACACAGGCGACTGATATCCAGTACTTAGTAAGACACTGACGGGATAATATTGTTTGTTTTGTGTTTTGCTATATGCTCAACACTAAATTGGGGTATTTCGTTTTTTTAATAATTCAAAAACTATACTGAAGAATTTTAATATACATTGAGCGTTATTCCTTCGCATCAGTGTCCTTTATGTGTTTTAAATATGGGATTTTAGTTTGCTTGATGGCAAACTCAATCAAAGATTTGGGAGGATTTTTTTTCACCTGCTTTTGCCAACGTTCCCTAAATAAAAGTCAAATGTAGCGTTTATCAACGAATGCAGCAAGGTTAGGAAAGCAAAACGTCCCTACACTCTCCAAATGTTCGCGTGTCAAAAGCAGCCAAACAACGCGATCAAAATCCACACCCAGACTTGATTCACTTACCTTGGAGATGCTTACTTCCGTATTCATTTGGTCATGTGATTGCACAAGGCGTCACAAAGTGGTGCATCGTGGGTAATTCTTGATCGCAACCGAGTATAAATTAAATGCTTGCTTAGTTTATGGTGCGTACATCATTGAGTAAAACACAAAAAAGAAAAACATAAACACGAACGCACAAACCACAAAGAACGAGAATACTGACAAAAAGCTGTAGGTACCGTTTTTTTTCATCGTTAATTTGCAAACACGTTAAAAAGCGTGGAGCTGCCGGTTCACTCAAATGCAATGTAAAGCAAGCCGAACAATTAAGCGTCAGTAAAAGTTTATAGTCACGTTTAATACTACCGTCGAATCAAGTCTTCAAATGAAACATCGTTGTCAAGTAACGCGTTAGTGTCCAACGGTGCGGAAGGAGCTGTTTTAAATGAAAACGATCCAGGAAGTTTGGAAATTGCCGCAGGACAAAAGGTTCGTTAGGGACAGTTATAAAATTACAGCGCTAAATGAAAGCGTAAAAAAGAGAACTGAAAAAAGAGACGTCAAATATTTCACTTCCCTAAATTTTAAAGAATGTGTCTTAATACCATGGCTGTGACATGTTCTGTCACAACAATTCACAGATCAACAATGATAATAATAATCAATACGTATTTATTTTCATGTTGGTATTGGATCACTTTAAGGGTCATTTTGTCTTGTGCAATGTTTTTCATGTTCCAGTTATTAAGTTATTAAATCTAAAAAAAAAAACCCCGGAAAAAAAAGGAATGGGCTTCCCTACTAAAACAGTTAAAAATAATGCATCATGGACTGGTTTGAATGGCCAAATATCCCATTGGCTTCTTCACACCCCCTTTAAATCAATTCAACCACCCATGCTGATTTTCAGCAGGATCAGACAGTGCTTTCTAATGCAGAACGTGAGAACGTGATCTAAAAGAGCTTGATGGCTCCTCCTGCTATTCAAACATTGAATCAGCACAAATTAACTGCAGCTTTCAAAACGAGAGGGAATATGAGAATAAAATAAGTCAATGTACTGTGCTTGCATACACATGCTTATATTGTGTTTATTTGTTTTCACATAAGAATTCACCCAATGTATCTCAAACATAGATTCTACAGGATCGTTTTTGTATGAATAATAAGGTTTTGTTTGAGGGGTTTTTCTTTGTTTTATTTATGCAATCATTGTAAAAAAAATGAAGACATTCCCTCCACAGAAAATGAACCATATCCAAGAAATTCAAGTTTCTGCTCACTTTATCATTAGCATAAAAATGTGTCTGTCTTAATCAAAACACAAACAACCCTGAAATAACACATAAAATATGTACATTTGAATACACATTGCCTTGACATAGAAGCTGGCACTTAACTGACGCCATGCAGCCTCAAACGAGAAAAGGGAGCCCATATACGTAATGCACCGTAGACCTTGAGATCGTACGATCACAAATGGATTGCGGACTTGCATGCAGAGGATCACTTTGGCACCTCAACGCATGCACGTGCAGACAGCTGGATCATGCGCAGCAGTAGAGATGCTTTGACTTCCCTCTCAAAGTTGAGTTGAAAACTGTGAGCAGCAGAAAAAACACAAAGAGATATACAGATCTGACATTCAACTTCAGACTGTGTTTTCTTTTCCTCAGCTCCTCAGCGGAGCGGAAGAAAGTGGTATCCAGGAAAAGTCAGTGCCACATTGGACCGCATACTTCCTTACCAGATCCATCCGTCCAGTAACTGAACCACTTACCCTCACGAGGGTTGCAGGTGTTCTGGAGCCTATCCCAGCATCTACAGGCAGTAGGCGGGGTACACCTTGAACTGGTTGGCAGCCAATCGCAGACATTTACTCTATAATTATGAAACTAATTTACTGTATTCACTCTCAGACCGGCTTAAAAAAAATAATACTGTATTCTGGCTTCCAAAATGCCAGTTTCACGTGGACGAAATGTGAAAACAATTAAAAATAAAATTTGTGAATACCTGTACACTTAAACTAATTTCCGCATGTAAATGGCCTCAGTCTGAATAGTTGTTACCTTTGATCTGACTGTTGCAGGGAGTTCACTTGTAAAGTGTGAGTTGCAATTTTGGACTCCCATCGACCACATAAGCGCAGCTCCATCTCAGTGAATGAGTCACTGGGTGGGTGTTGGAATCACTGCAACACTTTCACAAATTTTTGTGCAGAATATTTTTGAAGACTCTTTTAAAATTCCTATTGCACAGTGGGTAGATAAAAGGGTTGAGGGTGGAGTTCATGTAACCAAGCCATATGGTGAACATGTGCAGGTCATGGTGCACGCAGTCTCGACAGAACGCCATGACCATGAAGGCTATAAAGTACGGGATCCAACACAGCAGGAAAGCTGCGATGATGAAGCCCAATTGCCTGGCTGCTTTGTGCTCCTTGTGGATCCTCAGGCTGTGAAGTCTCTCACGGGAATGTTCGAGGAACCTTCGCCATGTCTGCCGCAGAGTCACCTCATTGTCCGGGTCCAACTCTGTGTCATCGGCCGCTTTGGACCAGGGCAGAGAACGGCCGGAGTTGTACTTGTTGCAAAGCACGGACGTGTACTTCTGCACCTGGCTGATATCACAAACACCGTTTACCGAGTTTGGCACTGTGACGTGACATTCATTTAAAGATGATTCCCGATTCCGTTCTGAAGTGACATTTTCTGGTGGCAAGCAAGCTGAATTGAGTGAAACTGCAGCATCCGGCCTTTTCTCCTCAGGAGCTAAGGAGTCTCTTCCTGGTTTTGAAGTCACTCTGTCTTCCTTTGTTGTCACGGCAAGCAAACCTGGCTTGGAACACTGCGCACCAATCTTTCGGTGTGATCTAGAAAGGGAACTTTTATTTTTATCAAATTCCTCAAGAGAATAAGTTTCATCTAGAAGTTTCTGGTCAAGCTGCCTTTTTAAAAGTTTCACTGGAGCCTCGCATTCCTTTTGGGCTGATTTGGAGTCATTTGAAGACTCGGCATTTTGCTCATTGTCCTTTTCCCCAAATGAATCTGTTGGATGAATGATCCGCTCTCTGTCTCGCAGATGTTGCCTCACTGCCAGGTAGATGTGTGTGTAAAACCAAAGCATCAAAATAGAGGGTACATAAAAATTGAAGACAGCGGTAAGAACTTTAAACCATGTGACAAAGCGAAAATCGGTGTCACACTTGTTCTCCTCTTCCGGTTTAAGTTCTACACGGGTGAAGGACCTCCATCCTAAAATAGGGAAAATCCACGACAGCGACAGCAGCCAGGCTCCGGTTATCATTACACTTGCTTTACCTCTTGTTCGATACTTCAAATACTTCAGCGGCTGTCGGACAGAGCGATACCGATCCAGACAGAGGATAAACAGACTAAAAATCGATGCTGTACTTGCCACGTAATCCATAATCAACCAAAACTGGCAAACCGCCCTGCCCAACTTCCATTCGTCCTGTAGCAGATACACCAGACTGAGCGGCATCACAGTGGCACCGACGATCAAATCGGCCACTGAGAGACTGACGACGTAGAGATTACCGACCGTGTGCAAGCTCTTCTCTGTTTTCACGGCATAAAGAACGAGCAGGTTCATTATAATCGTGAGGAGGGAGAGGAAGCCCAGAGAGACACCCAGCAAGGCGCTGTGCAGTCCGCCATGGACTGGGAACGTGTGATTGACTGTCAGGGCATGCGGATCATCCGGTTGGCCGCCGCAGCTGTTGCAACTGTTGCTGTCATCATAGCTGTTTGTGTTGAGGTGAAGATGGACCGTGGAGAGCGACAGAGCAGATTCCATCCTACAAGATGAATGCCTATCGATCTACTCCCATCGTGGTAAACAAACTAGTGGGCCCAAACGCGTGGACAAATACAGTAGCTTGGAATGGTGTAACAAAAACAGCGGCGTCTAGAAAAAGGGATTATTGTTGTGGTCTCAATCAATAGTCCATTGACTGTTCTGTTTACATCTGAAAGACATAAAAGAGAATATATATTAGTTGGCTGGCAGTAATTTTAGTCCTCAGAAGTGGATGCTTTCCAGCATTTTTTGTAATACAATTTAAGAAAATGATCCTATTCCAGTTGACTTTGGGTGAAAGATCACTACATCCCGAGAGTTTGAGGGCATTGAGTTGGAAGTGATACTAAACCAGCGATGGGAACCATTACGCTCACACCCATCCCCATGGGCCATCGCATGCATGAATCTGTAGTTCTTTAGTGTCAGTGGTTGCACTGCTAAGATGTCATGCGAATTACATTGTTGATGTCAGCATCCTGCCAAACTCAGTTGACAGTGAATAATGACCAAATCATGGATTGACGACAATGCTGAACTGCACCTCTTGATGGAAATGTGATGAGTCGATCCCATCATTTGGATGCTTTTAGCTTCTACGCACCAAACGTGTCAAATGTAACACTTCAGGGGTATTTTCACACTCGGCCGCTGGAGAGGAAAAAGTCGTGATATTTAATGCTAAGAAGTGCAGCCTTATTGAGTAGTGTCAAACTTCTGAGACAGTTTTTTTTTTTTAGTTGAGAAAGAAAAGGTATGAAAAGTGCTTTTATTTGCCTTCAAGAACCCATGTCTGAGTGCTTTCTAATCAATCGGGCTTAAACACACAACTTCAGTCTGTCTGTCAGAAATGTTAATGTAGCGTTGACATTTCCCGTAACATTTTAAGTGGCTTTGTCTTTCACTGTCCAGCTGGCTGGACAGTGAAACACTCAATCACACACAGAGACTCACGCACATGAGATGGTGGCAAATCCAGTCAGCACACAAACTGTGATTTGAGAAGCTGAGACCTAATTGCGTATTTATCTCTGCTTGAAGCCATTTGCATTCATAGAATTCCACAGCACATGCAAATTCATGGCCTTTGTATATTTGCATAGCACAGCAAGACGCCTCGCGTTGTCAGTTGACAGGCTCTTGTCCTGACTGTCTGATGTATTGGGGAGAAGATTAAAATAGATTTATGCCCGTTGCCATGGTGGCAGGTGTGTGGACTGTACATTACTTTTAGAAGCATCGCTTGCTCTGTAAACTGCAGTGTGTCATTTGGCCTTTTCATGACCACAACAATAAGTCACCGGCTGCATTGTTCCACTAAAAAGCCTCCCTTCGAATGGATGCCTGCCATTTTCCCATCAGGAAAAAAACAGTAGTAACTGTAAATATTCATTTAAAACGTTATCATTCACATGCATTCATAAAACTGTTCAGCCCATGTGAACTGTGTTGCTAACCAAAACATTAGCACCTACCGAAGCACGGAAGAGTTTTTTTTTTTTTTTAAGAAATTCCCTGTGCAATATCAAATATGGTCCTGCTTTATGAAGACACTGCCTATTTACCGGCAATTCGTTTTCTAGTAGACTGACATGGGAATGGTCTCTCCACAACGTTGAGTGAATGTTCCCTAATTTCTGTTC